TGTGTGTGTGTGTGTGTGTGTGTGTGTGTGTGTGTGTGTGTGTGTGTGTGTGTGTGTGTGTGTGTGTGTGTGTGTGTATGATGTATGTATGTGTGTATGATGTATGTATGTATGTATGTACAGGGTGGGCCAAATGTATGGGTACACCCGAATAAATCTTCAAAACAGGATTTTTGGAAAAAGTGACCTGAATAAAAGTTGCTCGAGCCTAAAAGAACTATCTGCTGGTGACCTTGTATTTAACCTTGGCCCCAACTTTCAAGGTTATTCGGAGGTTAACTTTGCTTTCTAAATAGAAATATCTATTTTTTATTACGGAATTTTATTCTACGTAAAGAAACTAACAACTTTTATTTGAAAACATTTTTTATATGACCTCTATTTTCTAAAATATTTACGGAAATATCTACAAAATTATTAGATTTAATAATTTTTTACTCGAATTCTATTAACTTTACTGAAAAATAGCAAGAGATGGAAATTGTTTATTTTCTTCTCATAGAGCTCAGAATTTTTTCAGAATTTTTTAATTCTTACTACATTTTCTTATATTTTCTTAAAATACTAAAAAATTCTCAGACCTCTACGAGAAGAAAATAAACAATTTTTGTCTCTTACTATTTTTCGGTAAAGTTGATAGAATTCGAGTAAAAAATTATTGAATCTAATAATTTTTTAGATATTTCCGTAAATATCTTATAAAATAGAGATCGTATAAAAAATGTTTTCAAACAAAAGTTGTTTGTTTCTTTACTATTTTTACTTTTTTACTTTCTTTTTGTTTTTTAGAATAAAATTCCGTAATAAAAAATATATGTTTCTATTTAAAAAAGCAAAGTTGACTTCCGAATAACCTTGAAGATCTGGACCAAGGTTATATCCAAGGTCACCAGCAGATAGTTCTTTTAAGTCCAAGCAACTTTTGTTCAGGTCACTTTTTCCAAAAATCCTGTCCTGAAGATTTATTCGAGTGTATCCATACATTTGGCCTACTCTGTATATAAGCGTAATCTATCGTGCATAGCAAAAATCAAATAGTATCTGTGTTATTTACAGGGGAAGGACCGGCATACCTACATACAGCGATCTCTTACAATGTAATAAAATAGAAGATGCGGAAGTTTATCTAATAAATAAAATAAAAATGAAAGGGGCTCCTGAAATAAATGAAAGAGAAAAAAAAGGAGAAAGAAAAAAGGATGAAACTTATGAGATACATGAAACAGATAAAAAAGAAGATCACAATTATTCTATGAAACTAAATATGTATGTATGCGTTTAAATTATATTTAGTATAAATGATTACTGTTTGCATACGTGACGTTTAGCCGCGACAGTCTTTGATTTGTCAGTTATGATTAAATTAGTCCAATAAAACAAAATTAGCTGTGGGCAATAGCAACGTGGGCAAACAGGACGGTCCTATTTTAATATTAATGTATTATTTTGTAATGAAAATAAACCTTACTGTTTCTAGAAACCAACAAATTGGTAATGACAAAAATAATACATCGAAAATGTTATTGGAATTACTAATACGTTCTGAGGAAAAAAATAAGAAACTTCTTCAGACAAATAAGGATTTAATAGGAATAAATAAGCTGCTAAATATACAAATAAAAGAGCTGCAAATGAATGCAAGGAACAATTCAGTTATTACCCAAAAAAGGATATACAAAAGAAAGCCAAAAGCATTGTCATCAATGCTTTATGGAAAATTTTTACACCAGAGCAAATAAGAAATTTAGTGTCACCACATAATATCCATATTCAATGGTCATCGGAAGATATAATATCTGCTATTGCTTTGCATTAAGTCCGAAAACATATTTATATTTTAAGACTGTAAAAAAATTTCCATTACCTTTTACGACAACATTACATGAATGGATTGCATTTTTTAATGTGACACTTGGCCACATTACTTGATGTCATGAAAAAATCATGATTGACAATGAAAATAATTTATCTACTATAGAGAAATTAACAGACTTTACTTTTAATGAAATGTATATATCAAATAAATTAGATTTAGGAAAAAGAGAAAAAATTTATGAACCATGCAAAACATGTCAATTTAGTCGGCTTAAGGATTATTCAAACCCCAAAGCGCATACATGACATTTGCATTGCGATCATAGCACATTTCCCCTACTCTTTTCTATAGAGTCAATAATCGTCTCTCTTATCCTTCAATGTTTGGTTCGTTTTCATTTAGGTTCTCATCTTTTCATGCAGCAAATTTTTCGCTGCGAATGATTTGTAACGAATAATTCGCCGCGAAATAGCGAATAATTCGCCGCGAAATAGCAAATAATTCGCCGTGAATAGCTTATGAGCGTCATATGTTGCGTGTTAACAACATGGAGGAAAATTCAATTATTTATTTGATTACTTGGTATAACCAAATATTATTAAATTATATGCAAATAATAAATTATTATGAAAATATCCGAAAAAGGAAAGCAACTGCATTATGTCTATACTTTTATATAAGAGAAGAAAATATTCGAGAAAGAAACATTGAGTAACACCTATTTTTCAAAAGGTGTTAATTTAGGAATTAATATTCCTCTAAAAGATTAAAATGGATTATACCTGTAGAGTATTGTAATACCCAGATAGCCAAACCTGCGCGAACAGATTTCAAGCAAAGCTTGCCATCAACTTTTGATGGCAAATAGATAACAAATTTGATGCAGGATCTGTTATATCAAATCTTGCTGCCAAATTGCCGCCAGATATGCGGCAGAGCTTGTTGGATAATTGCTGCAGATTTGCAGAAAAAACCGCGCAGAGCTTGTAGCGATTTGACGGCAGATTGGCAGCAGAAACCGTGCAGACCTTGCTGCGCTGCAAGCTTTGCGCGGTTTTTGCTGCAAATTTGGCACCAATTGTCCGACAGCAAGATCTGACAGCAAAACCGTCGCCTAATGTAGACATAGATGGTTATGGTTTTGCTGTGGGTTTTTGATCAAATTTGCTGCCAATCTGCGCGCAGTCTGCGCTCAATTTGCTTACTGGGTATGCTTATTATTAGTGTCGGATGTGAACGGTACGCTCGTATAAATGAAAATGAAGAAGTAGTTTTAAAAATGTGTGAAGAAGATACATCTACTAATATATGTACATAAAATGAGTTAAAAATTAAATATCTCTAAGAACTCAGTACAACTCATTTTAAAATAAAACAGAATGTATACATATTTATCACTTCACCAAAGTTCTAAATTTATTACCGTAAGATTATGCACGCAGAATTAATTTTTGAACATGACTATTGGCACAAGTACCGGGTTTCATTAAAACAATTTTATTTACAAACGAATTTTGCTATACGCAGGAAGGTTATTATACACATAGTTCTCACACTTATATGAAAATCCACACGAATATCGTATCCAAAATTATCAACGCCATTTTAATTTCAATTTTGGACGGTATACAGAATAATTTAACAGTAAGTTTTCTGTTTATTGCTTGTATTGTAGTTTATTTAAAAAAAAATGATATAATATCTTTAACACATTCAATTACAGATTGGACTGTTTAAAATGCCTATAAGACTTGATGATACTATTTATAAAAATTTTGTAGATAATAATTTATCAGAATTGTTAAGGAATATTTCATTAAATATTCGACGACGACGCGTTTTCTAATAAAATTCTACTACATAATGCGGGATGTGTGCTACACTTTGAATAAAAAATTTTCGAGAAGATGGTCTTATAAGTTGATCAGTCACTCGATATGATACCTTTGGATTACTATTTATGCGATACTAAAAAACATATATACATAAATAGCCAATTAATAATCACGAGGAATTGTAAGGTAAAATTGTTGAAATAAAACCAAACATAATTATAAACGCCACAAGCAGTCTATTGCGACCCGCACTTTGAACATTTATTGTAAAAAAATATTTTAGTTTGTTATTTAATCTGTTAAACTGTTTTGTTGTTATTAAAATTCGTTAAATATGTTAACAGTGTTAATTTTTTAAAGTGTGTTAAATTAAGGTTTATTAAATACGTTTGAATTATAATTATTGTTTAAATTGATTTTTACTAAAACCATTGCAATTTGTATTTTGTTACGAACATTCCAAAATGTTCTAAAATACAAAATAAACAGTTATTAATTCTATTACAATTTATTTGTCTCGCACAGCGTAGACACCTTTATGGTAATGTTATGATGACTTTGACAGCTCAAGTTGAAATATGCAAATTTTTACTTGAATTATTTTTTATATGCTTTTAGTTTTTACATCTTTTATTTGTGAAAAAATGTATTAATATGCAATACATAGAGAAGCGAAAACATATTGCAAATTTATATGACAATAATATCATAAAAAGAGCGTTAATAGGAGTACTTTTTGCATTTGTCATTTTTCCATACCTGAGCGCGCGAAATCTCAGCCCTGCCATTCGTTAAATGTAATCGCTTCCCGTTTAAAAGCTATTATAGCCTCGACATTTTTGTATTAGAATTTTCTTCTTAAAATATTTTAAGTAATCTACCATTAAGAGCAATTCCGGTGGTTTCAGAACACTCTGTATAAGATTTGACTATAAATACTGGTTTATCTTTCGGTTATCTACATCCTTCTTGTACACTCGTGGTCTGAAAGATTTGTGCACCGATTTTTTTAGATTTCGGAACACGTCCCAACTTCAGGAGAGAGACAACCACTGCTTGACATACCAGCTCCGCCACTTATTGCGAGAGCAAAAGGATGGCATATATCGTATATGCTGTTACGTTCACGGTAGATAACTATATAGGGAAATGGGGAAATTTGGAAATATTAAAATCAATGGCTGCATTCAGCAGACTCAACAGTTGCACAACAGTTGAGTAATTTGTCAATGTAATTGGTCTAGATTTAGGGATCTAATAGCAAGAACCAATAATCGTTGATTGCTCACTGAGCGCTTTTTTTACTGAATGCGCCCAATGGCCGCGTTCAGTAGAACAAGTGATCAGTAAGCGCTCAGTGAGCTCTTGCATCTGATTGGAGTATAGTTGGAGATCTAAAAGAATATGCCAAATCATATACAAGAGCTCCCTGAGCGCTTACTGATCACTTGTTCTACTGAACGCGGCCATTGGCTGCATTCAGTAGACTCAACAGTTGCACAACAGTTGAGTAATTTGTCAATGTAATTGGTCTAGATTTAGGGATCTAATAGCAAGAACCAATAATCGTTGATTGCTCACTGAGCGCTTTTTCTACTGAATGCGCCCAATGACTTATAGCTCCTGCACACAGGACGTGGTAATGTTTGCCGCGCGGCGGAAATCCGAGCGACAGCCAATGAATATGTTGTTTTTCCGTAAGAGCTAGAAGGTTATTACAGAAAGCAGCATATTGAGTAGCTGTCGCGCGAACTTCTGCTGCGCGGCAAGCATTACCGCGTCCTGTGTGCAGGAGCCATTATGTGGACGGTCAACAGAATGATGACTCCGCTATTGGGTCACTCTGCTTTTCACCGAGTTTACCCTGGGTCTCCGGAGTCTGGCGAAACGATCGATGAATGGGCGCATTCAGTAGAAAAAGCGCTCAGGGAGCAATCAACGATTATTGGTTCTTGCTATTAGATCCCTAAATCTAGACCAATTACATTGACAAATTACTCAACTGTTGTGCAACTGTTGAGTCTACTGAATGCAGCCAATCTGGCGAGAAATCAGCGCTACTCGTTCTCCTTGCTCAGTCTCGAATGTTCCGGCGCTGCATGGAATGATGCGGCCCGCGATTCTGAATTTCGATTTCGTAATGTTCAAAAAATGGAGGATAGGCAAGAGTAATTGCTACACGTTCGGATTTTACGACTAATACATTCCAAATAATTACACGAGAATTACCAGAGAATAATTATGAGAAGTAAGCGCCTTCTCGACAAATGCGCGCGTTTTTATATGTCGCTTTGTCGCCGAGAGTCGTTTTCTGATTGGCTGATGGAGTTATGGAGATGGAAGAAATTCATTATCGGTATGATATCACCGCATCGATATCGCCGCGTCGGTCCTGATGGCTCCTGCACACAGGACGCGGTAATACTTGCCGCGCGGCGGAAGTACGCGCGACAGCCAATCAATATGCTGCTTCCCGTAATAACCTTCTAGCTTTTACGGAAAAACAACATATTGATTGGCTATCGCGCGGACTTCCGCCGCGCGGCAAGCATTACCGCGTCCTGTCTGCAGGAGCCATGACTGATGTTTGGATTTAGTTTTTATATTCCTGTTTATGTTAGCAGCGGGACTCCTTATCGCATTGCGCCGAGCGATTACGACTTCTCTTGTCTACGGTTGATCCATCGATTTTAAGACTCTCTAACGACACGCAGTATTCGGCATTATAATTTTAATTATAATATTTAACGCGTGCGAATATACATATATGCACGTACTTATGTCTAGTAACATAGGAATAAAATATCTAGTGATGTCTGAAATCAGACAAGTCGGCCTCCGATCTATATTAATATATTATTAGTGTTTTAAAATAAATCCGGATGTCATAATGGGTGTTTACGACAATTAGGGTGCGATTACATGAGCGTACGGAAACATGGAAATGCGTAAATGCGGAAAAGTAACTAGTAACTAAATGGGATCCGTGCGGTTTCGTTCTGCGCGTTTCGTTTTCCGCGGATTTTATACGGAAATACGGAACAAGCAAAAAGTATAAGATAGTGATACCATACTGTCACTCGAAATCAACCATCGTAAAGTCATCTGCAATCTTATTCGAGCATTTATTGGATTACGAACTACTCTCTGTTTTTCGATGTGAGATCCAACGATTGTCAGTAATTCATCGAACATTGTTGGTGACATCCGCAGATAGTTAAAATATTTTCGTTGTCAGACAATAGCATTTCAACGATTAAATTATCACTGGCTCCTTGTAACAATCTTCGTTGTTCAGAAAATATAGGTCTTACTCACATTCTGCGATTTCGTCTGTCTTCTAATTTTTTGTAACAATTGTAAATATAAAATAATTTTGTAACTTTTTTCAGCGTTATTTCCGTATACCTCTTTGGTTGCTTTCGTGCTTGTATTACCAGTGTGATCATAGCCATTAACATATAATTTAAATTATTTCCGTACGCTCATGTAATCGCACCCTTAGAGTTAGAGTTAGTTCCATTAGGGCCGAAAATTATGATAGGTACGACCATCTAGTTTGGTAGTTTATGACAACTTCTTCTAACACAATGGCTGCTTACGATATCGAGTGTAGAGCGAGTGAGAACTGGATCCGAGAGAATAGTACATATTCCCATCTGCAACTAATATATTCTATGGCTACTCTTGCTCTGCTCTGTTTTGTCTTTTATCCACAGGAACAATATGATTGTATAAGCACATCAAGGGCGAAGGCATCAATCATGAATCTTTTTACTTGAGAACTCTGGATTTTCTCAATTATTTAATATTTTTCCTTAGTATGAAACTATGAGAAGTGATTGTTTTTGCAGTACTTGAATGCGATCGTAAATCCTTTCCTCCAATGTAAACTTGTGAAAAGTGTACATTTCCATATTTTCAAGGTTAGATTTTTCACTTTTCACGAGTTCACATTAGATGAAAAGATTCATGACCAACCCTCTGGGCACAAAGATTGTCGCAATCGTTTCCGACAGTATCGTAGACGTAAGTCGGTGTCGGAAGTCAACGCACAAGGATTGACGTAGACGTATGCCACATCAATTGTGTTGTACGAGCAGTCATATTGTTCCTGTAGATAAAAGAACAGAGCAAAGCAAGAGTAGCCATAAAATATATTAGTTGTAGATGGAAATAGATACTACTTCCTCTCACTCGCTCTATACTCGATATCGTAAGCACCCAATAGGTTTGTTCGAGTTGCTTGTACTTTTCACACTTTTACACCTAATGCCCGTTGCACACTAGTGCACTCCAAACAACATAAATTTTCAAAAATACATTCTGAAGACGTTTTCAGAACGGAGGGACGTCATCAGAATATTCTTAGGACGTCCTTTGAAAGTGTGAATTATTTGAAAATAGCTAATATCCAATAAGTTTATTCACATTAATTGAATTTTTTACACTTTCACACTTAGTGCACATTAATTCTTTAGAGGTTCTAAAAATGGCGTCATCACTTTTCACTCTTGCTTGGGATCAAGTATAAAAAGTGTATCAAAATTGCAATTACACTCGTAACACGAACGGAACTTATGACGTCATTTTTAGAACCTCTAAAGAATTAATGTGCACTAAGTGTGAAAGTGTAAAAAGTTCAATTAATGCGAATAAACTTATTGGATATTAGCTATTTTCAGATAGCTTACATCTTCAAAGGACGTCCTATAAATATTCTGATGACATCCCTTCGTCCTAAAAGCGTCTTCAGAACCTATTTTGGAAAATTTGTATTGTATAAGGTGCACTAGTGTGCAACGGGCATTAGGTGTAGAAGTGTGAATAGTACAAGCAACTCGAACAAACCTAATGTCTTACCATAGGAACAAGCTGGAGTAAGAAGTAAAGAACGCGCATTCGACATCAGATAATAATTTCGTAAAATCTCAGAATTATATCCATATTTTTTTAGCGTATGGTAACATTGTATTTTATAATTTTTTATTGTATGTATTTGTAGATTTTGACTGTATGTATATATTTGTAGATTTTGACTGAATTTCGCAAAAATTTATACATACAAATGTACATCTACAAATATATACAGACAATAAAAAATAAAATACAATAAAATACAAACAATGTTATCACTAAAAAAATATAGATATAATCGTGAGATTTTACGAAATTATTACCTGATGTCAAATACGCATTCTTTACTTCTTACTTTAGCTTGTTTCTATGGTAATGGCTCCTGCACACAGGACGCGGTAATGCTTGCCGCGCGGCGGAAGTTCGCGCAACAGCCAATCAATGTGCTGCTTTCTGTAATAACCTTCTAGCTCTTACGGAAAAACAACATATTGATTGGCTGTCGCGCGGACTTCCGCCGCGCGGCAAACATTACCGCGTCCTGTGTGCAGAAGCCATAAGAAGTGTCATAAATTACAAAAGTACTAGATGGTCGTGCCTAACATAATTTTCAGCCCTAAAGGAACTAACTCTAACTATAGGGTGCGTTCAGATTCCTCATCCAGGTGCACCCTATTACTAGAAACACAATGAGTGCGTTCAGGAGATACAGCAGTTACACAACGGTTGAGTAATTAATCAACGTAATTGGTCTAAAGTTAGGGATCTAACAGTAAGGACCAGTAATCACTGACCGCTTACTGATCAGCTATGTTTTCTGAACGCAGCCTATAGGTTTATTTGCGTCGCATGCCCCAACGTGCTCCTACTCGCTTTAACGCACACTGATTGGCCACGTCATCACGCGGACCAATCAGAGTACGTTGGAGCGAGTAGGAGCACGTTGGAGCATGCGACGTGAACAAATCTTATAGTATATATTACATATATTATAGCACTTCTAGTAATAGAATACACCCGGGTGGGGAATCTGAACGCAGCCCTAATGGCTCTTGCACACAGGACGCGGGAATGCTTACCGCGCGGCGGAAGTCCGCGCGACAGTCAATGAATATGTTGTTTTTCCGTAAGAGCTAGAAGGTTATTACAAAAAGCAGCATATTGATTGGCTATCGTGCGAACTTCCACCGCGCGGCAAGCATTACCGCGTCCTGTGTGCAAGAGCCATAATTGTCGTAAACACCCACTGCCATCCTTCTGCATACGTTGAATGGTGTTGGGGGTACGCCTTTTGGTTACCTGAAGCCATATTGAGAGAGAGAGAGAGAGAGAGAGCCATCCTTCTGCTCTCGTAATAAATGGCGGCGCTGGAATGTCAAGCAGTGGTTGTCTCTCTCTTGAAGTTGGGACGCGTTCCAAGTTTCGGTTTAACCGTCGATACAATAAGACGTATCTGAACAAGTTCAGACCTGTGATTTTTGGAAGTTGTCTTGGAACCTGCCAAGGTCTTATTCACTCATACTTATCTTGCTAATCTAATTAATCACAAGAAATCTACATGAATCGGGAAGCTGGCGTAAGGGGATAATATTCCCAGAGCCATAAATTGAAGGAAGGAAAGGACGCGTTCCGAAATCTACAAAAAATTGGTGCACAAACCTTTTAAACCACGAGTATACACGTGGCAATAAATTGTTTTGCTACATTTACTTTTATTTGTCAAAATGAAACAAAAGAGGAAAAGGCGCGATGAAGATGATCATGAATACGATCCCGCTCCTAAACACCTGCAAGTAGGACATATAAAAAATCAAGAGAAACGTCTTATTGTTATATTAGAAAATGCACAATTAGAATCCGTTAAGGTGAGATTATATTTTCTCTAGTTTAATCGTTTATAGATTTGTATTACTTATCATTGATTATCTTTGTGTTTATAATTTCAACGTGATATCTATAAATGCATAAGTGGTAGGTTAGGTCAAGTTTGACAGGAAAAATAATAGATGCTTTGCGCTGCGCTGTCAATAGCTTTGTGTCTGTAGTAAGATTTTCTGTTCAACGACATTCACCCATTTATGCTTTTCCATGTTTACTAAGCGGTTTAGCTTAAAAATAATAAATATGTTAAAAAATGGCGACTGCTTAGTAAACATGAAAAATGATTGTGGACTGCTTATGTGATTCAACAAAGTTAGTTTGTGCGTATGCGTGCTGATAGAAACAGATCAATTTAATATTTATATTTTACAGAATGGAAACAGCTTTGAGTTGTTTAATTGCGATGATCATGCAGCTATTTCTAAGAAACTCAATCGTGATCCAGGCTCATGTAGACCGGATATTACACATCAGTGTCTGTTAATGTTAATGGACAGTCCATTAAATAGAGCAGGAATGTTGCAAGTATATGTACATACAGAAAAAAATGTTCTCATAGAAATTAATCCACAAACCAGGATACCGAGGACTTTCAAACGCTTTGCTGGACTAATCGGTACATATTGATATCTGTTTTTGTTTTTAACATTTTGTTTAATTGATACATTTATTATATTAACATTATTGAATTACAGTACAATTACTGCACAAATACAGTATTAGAGCAACTGAAGGATCAATAAAACTCCTGAAAGTGATTAAGAATCCTGTATATAATCACTTGCCAGTTGGTTGTCGCAAAATACTTATGTCATTTAATGCTAACAAAATACTTAATCCACGAGAACTTGTGCCTTCCGAAGAACCAATTGTTATTGTAGTTGGAGCTATGGCACATGGACAAGTAAATGATTATTATATGTGATTGCTACTATTGCATCAATAATCTCTTGTTTTTTTAATATTTTCATGTGCTGACTTTATTCTAGGTTAAAACTGATTATACAGAGGATACTATTTCAATCAGTAAATATCCTCTCTCTGCTGCTATCACTTGTAGCAAATTATGTACAGCATTTGAAGAAGTTTGGGGAATTGTATAATAAAAAAAACTGTAACCTGTTATATATGTAATATATATTTATTATTTGAAGTGTTTAATTGCGATGATCATGCAGCTATTTCTAAGAAACTCAATCGTAATCCAGACTCATGTAAACCAGGTATTACTCATCAATGTCTGTTAATGTTAATGGACTCCATTAAATAGAGCAGGAATGTTGCAAGTATATGTTCAGAGAAAAATGTTCTGATAGAAATTAATCCACGAACCAGAATACCGAGGACTTTCAAACGCTTCAGCTTTCAACTCAAATTGTGTGTATATATATATATATATATACACATACACATATATATACATATATATATACACATATATATATATAAATTATTATACTTAAATATGGATATATCCCACACAGCAGGAATGTCCCAAATACATCATAGGGATATCTTGAAGATATCACATCCCAAATATATCTTTAGGATGTCTCTATGATATATTTTAGACATCTCTGCTGTGTGGGATCATACTTCGTTAAGTGATAAAATACTTATGAAGAGCATTGTCAATATTTAAATACTAATATGTAATACTTTGCTAAGTGATGAAATACGTAAAGTACTGTCAAAGATTTAAAGTGGTAACCCAGACAGCACACAATATTAGTGATAAATATTTACAAATATTTATTTCGAATTATTTTTTTTAAATATTACATAAATATTTTATAAATATTTTATGTATATGCATAAAGAGAGAAAGGAAAAAGTAAGAAAATCTTTATCCAAAATATTATTAAAATATAGACTAAATATGTAAATATTTTATACAATATTTATAGTAAACAAAAAATTAATATTTTGTAAATAGTTCTATAAATATTACATATGAAAAAATATAATTATAATTTATTATAATTATTTATAATTATTAAATTAATAAAGAAATAAAAAAATCGAAATTTAAATTGGTAATGTATATACTAAAAAATTTTTTAAATAAAATAAATATATTTTATTACATATAATTTCTTAACTTAAAAAAATATATTTGTTAGATTTTAGAAAATATATAATAAATATAAAGTATTATTTTTTTAAATTTGTAAAATAAGCTGTAAAATTATGAATTTCTAAATAAAAAAAGTGATTTCTTTGATTTAAAATAATGTATACGTAAGAATAAGCAAATGATTTCTTTACAAAAAGAAAATTAGTTTTTTTAAATCTAAAAATTGTTTAAATAAATATTTGCTTGTTTTAAAAGTAAATAAAACACGAGTAAATCATTTTATAAATCTAAATAAATTATTTTCTAATATTAAAAGTATCTTTTTCGTGTTTCAAATTAAAGTTTCTTTTATTATCAGAAAACTATTTAAATTTACAAAATGATTTATTTGTATTTTATTTACTTTTAAAACAAGTACATATTTTTTAAATATACTTTTTACATACTTTTTAAATATACATTTTATATTTAAAAGGATATATTCTGTTCTTTTAAATAAATTATTTGTTTTCGTATATGGATATACTATATATACACAATATAAAGCATCTTTCAGTCAAAGTGACAGTAGTGCAGATAAGGTGAACGACTCAAGAACCAGAGGTCTCAGGTTCGAATCTCGGCAATGGTAAGCAAATTATCGAAGTACAATTTAATTTGAATTAAGTAGCGTGTAGAATAATATAAAGTGAAAACTAAGAACATTTATATTTTAAAAATTTAAAGAAGTTCAGAAAAGAGAAAAAGTATATAAATATATACATTTTAATAAATTTTTTTATAATATTTATGATCTATTGAAACTAAAGTCATAAAAATATTTATGAAATATTTTGGTAAATATTTATAAAATATTCAAGTAAATCCTATAAATATTTTGTAAACATTTCATAAATATTTTGTGCTGTTGTGTTTGTGTTTGTGTGTGTGTATGTGTGTGTGTATATATACAGGGTGTCATTTTAAATTACGCACTTAAATATCTCGTCAGGGGAGCCACCAATCCGAAAATAACCCTTACAAAAGTTGTTGGGTTCGGAGGAGGACATCGGATGGTGATTTTCAATTTCACTTTGATCTTGACCTTCAAGGTCATTTGAAGATCAAATCGAATTTTTAAATATAAACCCCTATTTTTTACCCTGGATTCGGAAAGAGCGCAAAATTTTACGTTTAGATGGGTACTTGAGGCTCTTCTTTGGAATGACCTTCAGAGGTTATTTCAAGGACAAAATATTTGTAATTACGCACCTGAATACATATCTTGTCGGGGAGCAAACAACCAAACCCTTACAAAAGTTGTTGGTTTTGGAGGGGGACATCGGATGGTGATTTTCAATTTCACTTTGATCTTGACCTTCAAGGTCATTTGAAGATCAAATCGAATTTTTAAATATAAACCCCTATTTTTTACCCTGGATTCGGAAAGAGCGCAAAATTTTACGTTTAGATGGGTACTTGAGGCTCTTCTTTGGAATGACCTTCAGAGGTTATTTCAAGGACAAAATATTTGTAATTACGCACCTGAATACATATCTTGTCGGGGAGCAAACAACCAAACCCTTACAAAAGTTGTTGGTTTTGGAGGGGGACATCGGATGGTGACCTTCAATTTCACCTTGACCTTGACCTTCAAGGTCATTTGAAGGTCAAATCGAATTTTTTAAATAGAAACTTTAAAGTTATGTTAAGAGTCGAAATGATCTTTAAAGATCATTTCAAGGTCGAACCGCTTACAAGTCTAGCATGACCTGAAAACCAAAATTGACCGTGGTTTGTTTTTTAAGATATTTGAATTAGTAGTCATTCGTATAAAATAAAATTGTTCACACCAGAGCCTGCGTTCAGTCATCGACATAATACATACATCGATGTCCAGGGCCCACGTTGATTGTGTTTCAACGAAGATTTGAATTTACATAGACGTTTAAATTTTGTAAAAACGGATTCATCACTGTGAGTTTAATACACAAGTTCTCATACCTTGAGTTTTCTTTTCCTAAACGTTATTAAGCCAATGAATATGTTGTTTTTCCGTAAGAGCTAGAAGATTATTACAGAAAGCAGCATATTGATTGACTGCCGCGCGGCAAGCATTACCGCGTTCTGTGTGCAAGAGCCATTAGGACTTCATTATAGTGAATACTTCACAACTTAATTCCTAGAACACTTTGAGAATTCATGAGGAATTAGGGCTAAGGCAGAGAACGAGACGTAAGCCTCGTAATCGTAGACGTAAAGTAAGACAAAGAAAAACATAAGCATAAGGCTAATAGCCTTTCATGATTTACGTTTACGTTTTTCTCTGCTTTATTTTACATCTACGACTATGACGCTTATGTCTCGTTCATCTGCCTTAGCCCTTACAAATGTTTTGTTTATAGTAATTACTTTTTGCGCCTATATTCAGTACATGCCAATGAGTGTATAATAATTAATTTACATATTTATATATAAATTGTTTAATTTATTGTTATTCGCAGTTATTTATATTTTGTGGAATTAATTATATAGTTTTATATAATAGGGCAAAGAGAGGGAATTGATGTTAAAATAACTTTTGATATATAAATTTTTCACCTGTGTCAATAATAAATATATTTATGAGAAGTATATTTTATCCTTAAGTTTGTATTCATGTTTCTAAAATCCATATATAATTCTAACAAACTCAATCGCATTATTTGAAAGCCATTTATTTTTGGATTTTGAATTACATATTTGAAAGTGCGCTTTACTTACATTTGAAGCTCAGTTAGAACAGTATATATAACAGTATAACAGTTATAACAGTTATAACAGTATAGTATCCAGCGAAAAATGATTCGTTGATTGACGTCAAAATGACATCAAATAGACGTTGAAATCGTCAAACCGACGTCAATTTGATATCATTTTGACGTCAATTAACGAATCATTTTTCACTAGGTATACAGGGTGTCCCGCGTAAGACGGGCCAAAAGAAAAATATAAGTAGAACACATTAAAGTGAACAAAAATTATATAGGCCATTTTTCAAACAACCACGTAAAATTTCGAGATATTAATTAAAATAGTTGAGCATATCAGAGCAAGGCGACACAACAGGCGGGACATACGGCTCGCCGCGGCCGGCGAAAAAAATGGATGATTGCTCGCAGGCCTATCTTATAGGCCAGAGAGGTAGGCTGTTTGGCATACTGAAATGAGTAGCTCCGTGTGTGCGTCCGTGTACGTGTGTGTTCTTCCATTTTCTTCGCCGACCGCTGCGAGCCGTATGTCCCGCCTGTCGCATCGCGCGTTCTAATTTGTCCAACTATTTTAATTAATATCTCGAAATTTTACGTGTTTGTTTGAAAAATGACCTATACAATTTTTGTTCACTTTTATGTGTTCTACTTATATTTTTTTGGTCCGTCTTACGTGGGACACCCTGTATAGATGTCACAAACATGAAGTCTTAAATAGCTCAGTGGAAAGAGCGGTTGTCAGGCAAGGAGAAGACCCGAGTTCGATCCCAGCCGAGGCTGGTGTTTTTCATCTCATATTGCATTAAAAGTGGACATCTACAGATACACACAAGAGCAGCACTCCCGGCCAAAGTTTCTGATCTTTTCTTTCATGTGGATACAATAAAATTTATTAAATCCGAAGAAATCTTTTTGAGTTGAAGTAATTCTATATGAATACTTTAAGAAGTTCTGAGGAATTCCAGTCATGGTACATGTAACTTCCTAAATCATTCTTATAGTATTCCCTTATAGAAATATCATACTAAGAATCATTGATAATTACTTATTTTCAGTATTAAAAATACTGGATAATAAGTAATTATCAATGATTCTTAGTATGATATTTCTATAAGGATTCTTCCACAAATTCCTAAAGAAGTACGATTCAGGAAAGGAGAAAACTTTAGGAACACTTAAAGAATTCATCATGCTATCTGGATATAAGACCAAATACAATACGTATTATAATAATTCAATTTCGATTCATAAAACATTCAAATAATCCCTAAATGCAATATTCCTTTTTTACAGAAAACAAACATGTCAATTCCAAAACAATATTTATTTGAAGTAAACTGTTATTAACCATTTACTGATATTTACCATTGCACATGATATTTTATTACACTTCTATCACATGTTATTTTTCTTATTTTTTAATTTTAGGTTATATCAGCCCACGTCTATTACGCATCTGCGACAAAACTTTCCCGCAGATTCCGCTAAAAACTGCTGACAAACTGGGGAGCGTCCCGATTGCCTATAGCACGATTGCACACAAACCAATCGATGATAAGAATTATCTAGTGAATTACCAGATCGAACCAATCATTACAATTTGTGGTCAATCGTACTGTCGGCAATCGGGACCCTCCCGACAAACTGTTGAAAAACGCGGAACGCTCGTGATTGGTTCCGCTCTTGTTCCGCGCTCCGCTATTCCGCTGCATGAGTTTGCATTCTTAGAAAGAGAGAGAAATATATATTTCCGCACTGTGGTTCTGAGGCTGGACTTCTCTCTCATTTAATTTTTTCGTTTTGTGACCACGGTAGCGTTTGGTTAGTTTGGTCCACTTAACGCTCGCAACGCCGTGAGCGTCATTCTATCTTTGTGCTCGAGGGTTAAGTGAACCAAACTAACCAACCAAACGCTACCGTGATCACGAAACGAAAAAATATAATTGCCTTTAGCAATATAGTAGTATTACATATATGGAGATTTGTCACCGTTCGCCATAATTTATGTCAGTAATTTATTTCCATATTAGTTTTTCAACAGCATTATTGTTAGACGTGATTTGTAACTTTATGGTAATTATGACTACGATGATCCGTCGCGCATCTGATCCGCTTCGCTCGGAGTGCGTTTAACGATTGCTGGACACAATATTTCTCTGCATATCGTAATCAAGGTAAGTTCTGTTTATATTATCGCTCGTGACCAAACTAGCTTGATAATCAATCGTTATCTAGAGTAAACTATCATAGAATACAGTGTTCTTTTTCTGCAATAAAAATGTTAGGTTAGGTTAAAACAAACTGATGAAAACGATTTCTTCGATAAACTCCTAATATACATATTTAATGCATAATGTATTTACATTATAAATAACTTTCATGTAAATAATACGGCGAATGAAACATTCCATTCTTTTGTAAGTATTACTCCCACATCTGTCCTCTTTAGCTAAGCTAGATTACATATTTTACCTTTGACTCTTTAGGGAATCGATTATGAATATTTTCCTCTAGTATAATTTTATGAAAAGTGAAAATTTTTTAACGTAGAATCATATGAGAATTATATGAAAATATTTACTTTTCATAAGTTCATATTCTAGAGCAGATTTACAATCATGTCAGACACATGAATTTTTTACCTTTAAGCACCTGTTCTACTACTATAGATATATGGTCTATCAAGATATATATATATATATATATATATATATATATATATATTTGTTTAAATACAAATAATAATATATATTTGTTATATATAATATTAACTATATATATTACAAAATTAATATATCTTTGGCTAGTAATGTATAGCTTTAAAATTATATTTGTAGACTACATATCTAATGATATAAAAGACTACCCAGCCAGAAATGATTCGTTGATCGATGTTGAACAACATTGTTTCGACATCAATTAACAAATCATTTCTGGCTGGGTAATAAAGAAAAAGACATTCATACTAAAAATAAAATAAATATACAGGATGTGTGAGTGCTGGAATACTTTTGTATAAGTAGAACTTGCTAAGGATGTATTATCTATATAGTCACTGCAAAAGTAACTAAAAATTAGAAATGTACTATTTCAATTTTTTTAAATATGATATGAATACATATACACATACAATACAGTTGAACAGCAAGATATTTTTACTTTAACATTATATTTTTATAATTTATTTACCTTATATTATTTTTGACATTCAAAATTTAGTTTTTTACAATGAAACTTTGCACACATAATTTTGAATGCATAGGGAATGCGTTTGAGGAACATGCTACCAAAGTTACTGCATTTTTGTATCTTTTTGCTCCTTAGATATACAACAAAGACAGAATGATACAGTAGCAATAAATATTGCTAACAGCGAGCTCTCTGAATGTTCTTAAAGTACACGCATACAAAAATTGAGATTTTTATTTTTTCATTTATCTTTTACTTTATGAAAGATAGCAACATCAGAAATATATGATATATTTCTCCAACAGTGTAATTTAAGATATTCTCAATAGTAAATAGTAGAATGACATCAAATGACACATATTGATACATTAATGTTAGAAACATTAATGTGTCATTAAAACATTTGATGTCATTATGTTTGTTGGGCTTATACTTAAAGATGGACTAACTGTTAATCTAGATTCTAAATCAATATCAAATTGATGTTTGTAATTATTTTGAGATATAATGGATTAACTTCTCATTTTTCCAAAATATTTTCATTTTTTTTTAAACATGGGCAATATATCTTTAAACCAAGGATATGTTCTAAAATGCCATTGTCAGTGCTGGCAGAAAATCTGTAGTATACGTGATATGAATTATATACTGTCATCACTGACAGTAAATATTGGAACGCAGCCCAAATAGAAAAATTCTCTACTGTTTTGCAAACTATCTTGGTTATCACCGAGATATGAACCTTCACATAGCACATATCTTTTTGATCTGATACTTGAGACATTTTTTGTCCTTGCTTATTTAAATTCCATAAAAGTGCTAATAAACATCTACGAAAAATTATAAATATGTTTTTAATCTGTAGGGTAAAGAGAGAGAGAGAGAGAGAGAGAGAGAGAGAGAGAGAGAGAGAG